GGACTGGCACCCTGCATCAGGACCCAGTACCAGTACTTTGCACCCAGTACTGGCACGCAGTACCAGCACTTTGCACCCAGTGATGGCACCCTGTGCCAGCACCCAGCACCAGCACCGTTTACCCAGTACTGGCACCCAGCACCAGCAGTGTGCAGCAGCACCCAGTACCAGCACCCTGCACCAGCACCTAATACCAGCACCATTTACCCAATACTGGCATCCTGCAGCAGCACCCAGTACCAGCACCATTTACCCAGTACTTGCACCCTGCATCAGCACCCAGTACCAGCACCTTGCACCCAGTCCTGACACCCAGTACTAGCACCATGCACCCAGTACTGGCACCCAGTACCCCAGTGCTACTCACCCAGCACTGGCACTGAGCGCCAGCACCATGCTTCCGATACTGGCACCCTGCCTCAGCACCCAGCACCAGCACTTCGTACCCAGGACTGGCACCCAGCACCAGCACAGCTCCCTCTGCTCCCGGAGTGTGGGGCAGGGCTGCCTCTGGAGCTGCCCCCCCCCGACTGCTTCCCTGTCAAGAGTCCCTGCCGAGCAGCGGCTTTCCCTAAATCAGTGGTTTCTCTGAGTTTTTTTGGTTTTGTTTTTTTTTTTTTTTTTTCAAAATGGGGGGATTATGCATGGCTAAAAATAAAGAGTGATAAAACTTTGGGAGAGAAAGGAGACATAAAAATTTCATGATCATGCCAGCCAGGGAAATTATCCCACTTTATTATTTAAAACCTCATTAAAACCCATTTCCCTGGGAGAGACAATGATCAAACTACCGTCTATTTCAATCCTCGAGACGTGTGCTCTGCTGTGTGGGGAACACGTTTAAAATAGGCCCCTACTTGTGCCTGCTCAGCTAAAAACACCAACCCTGACCCCTCTCCCTGCGAGCAGCATCTCCCAGCTGAGCCCCCAGCCCTTACACAGGGGGACCCCTCCCGCCACTTCAACCAATAATCCCTATTTGCCTCTTTTCACCCATCCAGCTCCCACTCCAGTGGGAGCCACAAAGTCTTTGCCCAGGGAGGATCTGCCCCAGGACCTCTGTGGACCAAGCAGGGTCTTTTCTCCGCCTGCAACTTTTCCCAATCCTGGGAGCAGCTCCAGTGTGGAGCAGCGGCTGCCAGGCTGCTCCCTCCTGCCGGGTGACCGGGCCGCCAGCCCTCCTGATTTGCTTTAGCAGTTCATTTAACTGGAAGCTCACAAATGCCTCAAAAAGCTCCCACATCTTCTGGAACTGCTTTGTGATGTAGGTTTGGGATTTTTAGAAATCCCCCCTGAACATTTAGGCTGTCGGTTCCTTGTGATTTTTGTGTCAGTCTGTCCTTTCGGATGGTGAAAAGACCACCAGGTGTTCGGTTTAAAAGAAGTCACCTTTTTAAAAAGGAAGTGTGGATGGGGAGAAACTGTTTGGAGCTCCCACATCACCTGCAAAGTAGAGCTGTCAGTGAGCAGCCAAACTCATAGCAGGTTGTGCTCGCAGTGCCACAGCTCGGCCTAGGCACCTCTTCTGTAAACACACACGCAGCGGGGAGGGAAACACATCCTTCCTAGCAGTTGTAAATGCTCCGATAAACAGCCGGGAACGCTGCTCCAAGCCGGCTTTGAGGGTGGAAAGCTGCTTCCCCCAGTGCCAGCCTGGGCTGTGAGGCTGGGCCGGCAGCAGGAGCTCCTGGGAAAGGCCGGCCGGTGCCCCTCCATCGCTCAGAGCCACCAAGGAAGGAGGTGACAACCTGGCGTGAGCCGTCCCTGTGCTGATCGGTGACAGTCGGTGGCACCGGCGCTGCCCGGGGTGGGTGGGGGGGACGGGGACACCCCGCGCCGGCCCCGCAGCATCCTCCCGGGCTGTTCACTCACCCCCAGCGCTCTCCCACCCAAAGCATCGCATCATCCCCCTCCTCCCCTCCCCACCCTCCCCGAAGCCCTGGGGGGGTCCAGCGGGTCCCCAGCCCCCGCTGCAGTGGCGGGACCCGCCCGCAGGTGCCGCCCGACTCCACCGGCAGCCGCCCCGGGCTCCGCGCCCGTCGCTCCGCCGGCACCTCGGGGCCTGTGGCACAGCGGCCCCGGCCCGGGAGCGCCCGGGCACCCATCCTGCTCTGGGTCCTGATGCCGCGTCCGTTGCGGGTACCCCGAAGGGGCTTCGCTGGAAGGGAGAGCAAGCAGCCCGAAAGCGCGGGAGCAGGGCTTCCCATGGATGCTTTCTCTGATTTTCTGGTGGCGTGGCTGTCGGATGGTGCTGGGCGAGCGGAGGCGACCTCAGCCCGGCGAGCAGGGGCAGCGGGGATCTGCGCGGGGAGCAGAAAGCGAACGCCTGCAAAAAAGCTTGTTTTCCTCCTCAAGGAAAACTCCTCCAGCAACACCGAGCAGGATGCTGGGGAGCAGGAAGCCTCGTTTGATGAATATCTGAGAGGAGTCGGCCTGTGTCAGGACTGAGATGCGGCAGCGAGGCTCCCGATGGGTCCGCAAAGCACCTTTTGATGGAGGAATCTTGTCAACGGCTGCTCAATACCCAACTCCAAAGCGCTCCGCAGTATCATCAGCCTCGCCGGAGCAGCAGAGCGGGCTGATCCCTGCCTGGGTGTTTGCAGCTTGTGGGCTCCCCGAGGGGCTGGCAGGTAATGCAACGGGATGTACGAAGGCTGCTGAGGTGTTTTGCTTTAGAAAAGCCTCTTTTTCCCACCAGCTACCTGGGCCCTTTAAAGCTTTCCAAGCAGCGGAGTGTAGTTTGGCTGGAAGGACCAAAAGAGACCCACCTGGGGCTGGAGCTCTTGAGGAAAGCAACGGTGCTTGAACTACTACAGCCCGAGCGGGAGTTACAGGAGAAGCAACTCAGCTGCCACCCTGCAGGAAGCGCTTGTCAGAGCCGAGATTGTAAAGGTCACGTTCGTCCTGTCCCTGAATATGCATCTCCTGGCTGCCGAGGGCAGCCCGAGGACACGGCGAGGCGATGCTCACCCTGCAGCCACGTGTGTGCGGAGAGCTGGCACGTGGGGGTGCAGGACCAGCCCTGCTCCGGGGTGTAAATCCACCCTGCCTGTCCCAGCTGTCGGTGCAGAATACCTGGTTTGATCTGTGCAGTCCCATCCCAGCTAATTTATTCCCTTTCGAGAAATACCTGGGCACCCTTTAGAGTTTTTTTTTTTTTTTTTTTTTTTTTTTACTCTTCTAATGCCCCAGAGCTTCCCCAGGGAATGTCAGAGCCACATTTCCCACACTGATCTCTACCTCAGCTATCAGGTGTGCTACAAACGTGCATTATCTCCACGGCTCCCCGGGGCTGCTCATGTGATGACTTGAGAGTCATTCTGGTTGGGGTCACGTTTTTCCCACAGGGCCTGGAGCGTACAGATTGTCTCTCCTCTACTCAAACTTGAAGATAAAGCAACAGCTCCAAGTTCTGGAGTGTGGTTCTCTGCAGGTTGTAGAGCAAAGTTTAAAAGGGGCTTTTGCACTACCTGGAGCAACGGATCTATAAATTCTATCACATTTAGAGGGAAAAGGGTTGATTATTTTGGTTTCCTAATGTAACAGGGCTTATGCAATCACATTGTATATCAGCGCACTCGTATTCTTCCAAATTCCTCTCTTTAAAAACTTTTTAACCCTTTTACTGGTTTTGTCCAAAACTGGCAGAGGTATGGAGCTTGCTTCCTGCATTTACAAACAGTTGTGTAAAGAACGACCCTGCCAGGGCTGCAACTGTGAGAAAGACCAACACATGCTGTCAGAGCTTATTAGACACTGGAGAATCCACACGGATCTGACATTTGATTGATGCCCAAACCGTGGGAAAAGCCTCAGTCAGAGTTTGTGCCCCCTCAGGCACCCAGGTCAGTCCCCCAGGAGACGCCAGCTTGTTGAAAGCCAGACTCTGCAAAATTCTGCAGCTCACAGAGTTGTTTGTTTGCTTTTTAGTGCCAAGCTGGGAGGGGACGGGCAGGGAGACGGAGATTAGCAGAAATTTTAGCCAAAAGGGCTAGTGCTGGCGTTCGAGGATGGGACTACGAGCAGCAAAGGCACTGCAGCCCCAAAGCCGGCCTTTGGCATTGCAGAGATGTCCTCCTTGAAGGAATCGCTGCAAATTGTCAGCTCTGCTGCCGGGTGGTGCAAGCTGACAGGGCCTCGGCGGGGGGGGGGGCATTAATCCATATTACCACTGCGGTTTTCATCTGAGCCTCTCGGTGACCTACAGGCTTTCTCTCAAACTCTCACCGGTGTTTGAGAGGTGGCTGAGCTGTTGTTGCCAAGTGTGTCAGAAAGAAGTTGGAAGTGGTGACAATAAAGACAAAACCGAGGTGGCTGGGCTCTTCTGGTTACCTGTGGCTGAAATCAAGGGAGGCAGAGGAGATCTGGATGGCTGTGCCCTTTCCTTGATCCCAAGATGGGCAGTGGAAAAAAGCTGGACCAGATCCAGTCTGTTCCAACCTATGTCTGCTGTGATACTTCGAAAGCATCTCTGACTTTTTAAAATGTAGGAGGAGCTGAAAGACACTTCGGAGACCTTCCACCTGTAAAAATGAGCACGGTTTGGTCTGGTCTCTGAACAAAAGCCCACAGGCAGGTGGAACAGCTCCTGCAGGTGTGTTGGAGAACTAGAGGAAAGTCCCTGCTCTTTGGCTGCAGGGGGAAGGGGATGCGGATGATTGGAGATGGGAAGAGTGTATTGGAGGGGAAGGACTGAGAAGTCAAGGTCAAGTGCCTATAAGGAAAAGAAAATACTTCGCACAAGGGGGAAAGGTAAAGATATCATTGGTTGTGTAATCTAGCCCAAGAACAGTATTTTCTGATTTTTATTCTACTTGCATAAAAAGCATCTCTCCATCACTTCCTCATCTCTAAATTGTTTGATACACACAGTTCATTAGAAATCTGCTCTGTTGAATAGCAAAGTAATGAATCTTTGCGCTTTCCATTTCCTCCATCTGAACTGGAAAGTGTTTTTCTCACACAATCTCAGTCTTGAGCAGTAATAACAAAACCACAACTTCTGTTGCAGTTCTTTATTTGCAGGTTGGATTCCTCTGTGGGCACCTCTAAGCACAAGTGAACATGACCTGCTGGCTACAAGACAGCAAAGAAAATGATGGTTATGACTGTGTGAACAAATACCATTCTGACATTTCTGTTTTGGAACAGCAAGGTCCAGGACTCATTGTCAGGAAAACCTGTGCCTGACTTTGAGGTTTCTCATGTATATGCTAAGCTGAGAACAACTTCTATATGCAGAATAATTTCTGTACACGGTTTTTGGTTTAACACCTTACAATCTCTATTTATAATTGATCAGGTGACATTGAAATGGGTAAAGCTTTGATTATGGCCTGATTTGTGTGCATGCAATCCCAGAGCAAACACAATCAAGTTGCAGGATTTACAATTACATTTACATTTACATCTTACATTAGCATGATCCTGGGCTAACTCATGTGGCCAACCCACCTGTTCCCCTAGCTCCTCCACACTGCAAGCACTGAAGGCCCATCTACTTCAGCTGAAGCTGTTGCACAGGTTGGGAAATAATTTAACTTGGTAGTCGAAACATCAGGCTATTCCTGGTCCCCCATCCCAAGCCATCAGCTGTCTTGAATTATTCTAAAGAGTTCCTCAAAGCTTCAGGGGCTTCTAATAAATATTCTGCCTCTTTCATCTTCTAGTGTTGCCTTTCTGTGGCTCCTCTGTAACACAAAAGCAGTGTGATATGATGGAGTAAAGGGGAGCAGGTTGCTGTGCACTGAGGAGATGTTGGCTGAGATGCTGGTTCCCAAGTTAGAGTTGTCAGTGGTAGATTCATCTCAGTCCAGGGGAATAAAGACAAGAAAAAAGAATATAGATGCTTTCTCACTTTCCCCTCTTCTTTCTGCAATGGATGTGGGACAGAGGGAAGGTATTATCTGACATCCCTGCACTCATAAGAAGTCTTTCATTACAAAAGTAAAAGTGTCAAAAATAAAAACCTCCCTCCTGCCTCAAAATGCTTGGTCCAGTGTGGGAGGCACTGTTTCTGAAGGGAAAGGGCTTATTTTTTCTCAGTCTTGAATCAATCTTGGCTTTCCCTGCTGTGACTGCTGGAGGAGGAGGGGAGGGCTGGCGGGCTTGTGTGTGAGGATTCATTTCCTCCAGGTCACCGTACAACCATCAGAGAGCATTGGGGCTCAGCTGCCACCAGCCCAAACTGAATTGGGACCCGTGGCCCCCCATGAAATGCCCGCAGCCCAGGGTGGCTCGGGGAGGCACCCCTGCCCTGCTGCCTGTAGCGGAAAGGGGTGTTAGGAGAGGTCTGAGCCTCTCTGGTCTGAGTCCTGTTGGAGTAGAGATCTTCTGACTTTCCCTGTTTTCCAAGACCCGTGCTGGGGACAGACTTAAAAGTACCCCTGGAGCAAACTGACTGAGGCGTCCTCTTTCTGACACGCTCCCGGATAAGACAAAGGGAGCCGTTTGCTCCTTCCCCTGCCCCTTTTCTCGGCAACACAGATAGAGCCCACGCAGCTCTTCCTCTGTTTTGGCGAAGGGAGGGGCGGTTTCCTGTTTTTATACAGAAATTAGATTGATCCAGGATGCCTTTGTGCTGCTGCTGGTCCTGATGCACGCAGAGGGGTTAACAGTGTGCGCGGGCTCTGTGGCTTTTACTGCAGTTTTCCTGCTCGCTGCTAGCACTCAAGCCCGTCACTGTCCCTGCGCTGCACCATGAGGTACGGAGGGCCCCACCTCTGCGATGGGTGCAGGAGGCTCCCAAACACCACTAAAAAGCCTTTCCTGCAAAACCAGGCTCTGTTTTTCCAGTGACCCGTTCCAGGGAGCTCGCAGGTTCCTGGCACCGGAGTGCAGCTCCATCCTGCTCCGGCCATGGGACCCCCTGTCCAAGGCCAGGGCTGTATCTGGCGTTAACATCCCAGGAATCTGCTCCAGGCGGGCAGGAATAAAGTGGAGAGAAGTGTTTACAACTGCTGGGGGGAGGGAGCACAGGCAGGGGAGCGGGCACAGCCCAGCAGAACAGTCTCACGGTCTAGCTGTCGCTGCCAAGGAATTGGTCTCGTATAAGGAGAAATGGAGAGCAAGCAGCAAATTGGCTTTGCTCAGTGCTTTGGCCACAATTAATAAGGAGGGAACTGGACAAAGGTAATGTATAATTAAGTTGGCCGATAGCAGAGTTCTGTCCAGAGCAGGAATGTGTTGTATGCTGTCACGCTATAATTAGCAACATTTTGTTATAGTGCTTTTCCTTTCCTTGAAGGAACCTGAAAAGCTTCGCAAAATGAATTCGGTTAAAGTTGCCAGCTCCCCTCGGGGCCAGAGGCGCCAGGTCTGCGATGCCCTGATCCTGCGTGGTGGCAATGCCCGGGGCTGGCAGGGGGAGTGGGATGAGGCTTTTCCTCCAGAGACACCCAGCTGGGAGACACGGGGTCCCTCTCCCCGGGGTGACCTGTGAAATGGGTGGGTTTGCCTGTGAGAAAGCTGGAGCGTGGAGAGGTGAAGTGGCTTTCTAAGGTCACCCCATGAGTCATGGGTAAGGCTGGGAATAGCAGCCAGCAGTCGGGCTCCCAGCCGCTGTACCTATGGTTATTTCTATTTATGCTCCTCACTTCTCTTGCCCATGGTTTACTGAGTGCATTCCAAGAGTAACTTGCCTGCCAAACTTCCTCCCCTTCAAAACCAGAAATGGACAGATAAGATAGTAGAAGAAATCAGTTTAACTGTTGGTATGTGCACAAACATACCTGAACCCTGTCCAAGTTATCAGCCAGGGGTTTTTTAATGCTCTTTTGGGGCAGGAGAAATGCCTCCAGTCTCGAAGCGCCTATGGCAGTTTGCTGGCAGGGTACCAGATGATTTATTTCCTTCGCCTGTGGTCAAAAGGAGAAAAAATTTAGAAAGCAAAAAATAAAGAAGGCAATCATGTTAGACATAGCAAAACCCAGTCAAGTGACTCCAATCTAAATCCCATGAAGGCAATGGGAGAGTCGTGGCCTTGGGAATTAGAAGTTTAGACTGTAAACCAAAATAAAACTGAAACCCCAAATAAATGCTGCATTGTCCCCCAGTAAATTTTTGCAGAATTCCTTATCTGCCTCTCAGTGAAGGCTTTGAGACTTTCTTCCATCAACTTCAGTTGTAAATCAGATTGGGCCCGAGACCAGAGTATCTGAAAAGCCCTAAACCAGGGGGTAATGATTTGGCTCGGCGCTATTTTGGGCGTGAGCAGAATTAGACTGGTGTGTCAACTGGTGTTCAGTGGCAGCACCAGGAGGCTAATTCAGGTAGCAGAACTGACATGAAGCCAGACTGTCATAGCAAGGGGAAGCATGGCAGTGGTGTGAGCGCCCAAGCAGGCTATGCTGTGTCTGCCAGTCTGCTGTCCGAAAGCAGGCACTGAGGATGCAGACAGGCTTGCCTGCTTTGCGACGTGAGCTGCCCAAATCCCCTCAAGCTGCCCCTTTGTCGTGGCTCAGCGATGGGCTGCCCTTGTACCCTCGCATCCCAGCGCAGAATCCCATCACTGCTTCACACTCCTTGGTTCTGCCTCTCCTTTCTCCTCTTTTTTTTTTTTTTTTCTTCTTTTTGCGTTTTGCCCTTTAGTTTTCTATTTGCAGCGCTTTTATTGCGGTCTTGTTTTATGGTTCTCTTCGTTCCCTGACTTGGGAGGTGATCTGCTGTGGAAGGCACGCAGCAGCTACTGCTGCTGGGGTGAGTCCCCCAGAAGAGCAGAGAGGCGCCCGGGTCACCAGGCTGCGGCTGAGCCCCGGGGATGTGGCCGTGAGCTTTGCTCTCCGTGATCTGCGCCGGGGAAGCAGGGAGCCGCCTGATCTTTGACCAGAAAGGATGCAGCATTGTGTGGTTTTCTGGGTTACTTCTGTTCTTTACTTTGCTGGATTCTTCTCAACCTTCTTTGGGATCTTTGCAGAGGGCTCAGACTGGAATAATGTTGGTTTTGGTCCCCAGATATCTTGTATACACAGACTACCCACTTCTACGAGGCGACTTTCGTAGAGCGTCCCAGGCATGAAAGCTGACCTCTCCTCTTTGCCCTTGCGGTGATTCCCTGATGTTAGAGCTGATGAGTAGTGTACAACCGAGCTCTTCCTCCTCCTGCCAGCTCTGGCTCCGAACTGCAGTTCCAGGTCCTTTCACAGAAATTAACATTTACTTTAAGAACCAAAATAAACAAAAACAAATAAATTTCCTAACAAAATAAGATCAATAAAAACGTAGCCAAGTGCTTTGTTTTGCTTAGAAGATGCATCTTTGTGCATACCCACTTGTGTGTTGCCAAGTTTTGGAAATCAGCAAAGGCTGACATTGTTTACTGCAAATTAAAGACCCTCTGGAGACACTCTGTCTTGCTTTCCAGTGTAGCCTCGGGATGGGGGAGGGAGGCAGTTGGACAGTAGCATAGAAGAAACCCTGTTCCAGTGTTGCTAACTATAGCATTAATTTCAGAGTCATAAATAACTTCAGTACCATGGTTACAGCACTAGCCAAGTATGATATCATTTAGTTTAGGATTAGGGAAAAATATCTTCCTTGAAGCTGTGGGTTCTAAAATAAGCAACTTTTCCAGAATGGGTTTTCTCCCAAAGACTACACAGAGAAACTCCAGACTGTAGCTGTAAATTAGAAGGATTACTTTGGTAAAACTGACTGGATGAGAAATGTCAGCAGGTAAAAGAGCTCAGAGAGTAGATTCTTCTACGTTCCTCAGTGAGTGACTGCCTGGCACTCTGTCGGTTTTCTTAGAAAACAGCATCGCCCGTGAATGAGAGCAAGCGTAGTGTTTTCCAAGCCGAGGTCTGTATTACGCAGACGTGCAGCAGCATAGGTCCCTTCAGAAATCAGATGCCACTAACGACCATTAGAAAGATGGATTGAGAGATCGGTGCTGACAGTTCCCATGGCTGCACGGGCAACATTATAGTAACTGCGCAAGCAAATGACAGCCAGCGTGCATCCATTGGTCCGGTCGAACAAACAACTCTGATATTTGTATTACAAAATTTACACACAATTACATAGGCGTACAATTCTGCAGGATCTCGGGAGCAACAGTGAAAGGCTGTTGTGAGAGATCCTGGACACGTGTTACATACAGTACAGCGCTATAATGGACTACAGCAAGAACCTCAAATGGGACAAAGGGGCTCATGTGAGGAGGCATAATGGGGGAAAATTTAACGGAGAAACAGACACTTTAAATACTGCAAATATGGTCACAGGTGGATGATACAGGAAATCTGGCTCTAGGGCTCCTGGATACGAGATGCTAGCCCACACAACCCAAAGCACTGATCCCGTTCAAAATTGTTCAAAAAGTTATGACATTAATTCTGCATTGGTAGGCTTTATGTCAGATTAATATTGTCTTCTTTCCTGCTGCTGGCATAAAGCCAGCATAAACGCCGTATTATGTACTCTGGCTAATTCAACAGAAAGGTAATTGTGTGCCCAGGCATGATCTGAATTGAATTTGTCCTGCTAAATGATCCAGTAGTGCTCAAAACTGGTAAAAAGGCCCATAGAATTGTGGTACAAACTTCCATTTCAAATTTCATGTCTTCTCTAATGCAAAGCAAGAGAATATTGCCACATGCAAACACCTCTGATAATTGTTGAAATGTTGTCCCTCAGTTTGATGACATTTCGCAGCACAGATTAGAGGGTGCCCCCCACGAAAAGCACTGGAGAGACTTGAACGCACGGAGAGAAAAGAAATGTACTTCTCATTTCTGCTGTTCCTGGTTCTAATCATACAGAGAACATCTGAAAAGCGACATTTCAGGATAGGCTGAACAAGTCTGTTTGATACACTGCATTCATTAGCTCTGCCTCTCACCGCTACAGCCTGATCCCTGCTGAGACATCCTCTGGTAGTTAACTCACCCCCAGCTCCTGATAGCAGAGCTTCGGGTTTCCAGGTGGCCGGGGGCTTCTGCAGCTCTGAGCACCCCGAAGCCCCTGGCCTCTTTCTTCCGCTCTTTGTCTATGCTAGGCTTGGCTTCTCTGAAGTAACTTATCCATCATGAAGATGTGGGAGGCCAGCATGGATTTAATTTTCTCAGCAGTAGACTCAGCGAATACCAGATACCTTGCCCTCTCTTGGGCTGTGTTAAACAGAGAGATGCTTTTGGTTTGAGAATAGTTCTCTGTGTGTGTGAATCTTTCTGTCTTGAAGTCATATTTGTTTCAGTTGTGAATTGCAAAGCAACCTAAAGGGGAAAAAAGAGGAAGATGACAGTGTTATATTTGTGTATGAGGACAGAGGCTTCTTGAGTTACTTGGTATGCTTTGCATGAAAAAATATGATGGCTATCTGGCCAAAAGGGTGACTAGAAGAGATCTCACTGACATTAGTACTAATTTATGGTACCAATAGTTTCTTTAGCATGGCCAGTGAATAAAGTATTGCTTTCAGGCTCAGAAGATATGCAGCATACTTGTGGCTTTGATGCTGACCTGTCCTTTCACTCTAGCAAACTCAAAACTTTGTCATTTCTCATACTGTGCTTGTTTTCTCCACCTTGGTTGCAGGACATCTGTTCACTGCCTAAAAATACAGGATTCTGAGCTACACTGGGATTTCTGCTACCGCACAGGGCACCCCTCTTCCAGTGACCCGGTCTTACTTTATCAGGGTTATTTAGAGCTTCACTGTTTTGTTCAAATCCTCTGCTGTCAGGGAAAAGAGGCAGTTCTGGCCCACTTGAGAGCTTTTGCAGGTAGCTGAGCTGCAATATGCCAAAAGGCCTGGTCTGTGTTTGGGATGGGGCCTGGATAGCCCAAGGAGGCCTCTCTCCTGCAATGAGAAACCATCTGCCAAAGCTGTCTCTACTTTGAAGCTCCTGGAAGCTGTTCTCAAGTGTAGTTTAGAAATATGCAGACAATTACATATCACTGCTGTTGTACTAAGACTGCCAACTGTGGGATCAGGTTGTCCCCTTTGTTTTCCAGTAATTACTATTTTTAGTTCAGGTTTCATTCTAGTGTAATGTTTTTAGATGAGCCCAGAGGTCCTCTGGCTGTGCTCTGTACAGCTTCACAGAAGACAGATGGGGCATTACAGACACAGTGTACTTAGTCCCTGCCACTTCATGAGATTCAAAGTCCAATTCAGCTGATTAAAGAAGGATGTTTTCAAGTTCTGAAAAAAGCCGTCTCTGGATGGAAGCAGAATGCCTGCAGCAGAACCACAACTTAACAGGGAATAATTTCACCTGCACAGTAAAACAGGAAGATTGTAAATGTTCAGGGATGACAGGGAAAGTCTGCCATGGCTGGGGTTTTGTTTTACTAGCTCAGGCCACGTCAGCTTGTCAAGTGCATCTTGAGAGATTCGCGGCCCTCCTCAATTCCAAGGCTGTCTGTGACCTGAACCAAACCAAAATCTAAGGAAGGAACCAGGCGGCCAGGCACCGGCCAGCGTTAAGTCAGCGCAGCTCCACAGTTCACATCAGCGGGGAAGCCGGGCCAGGCAGCGTTCCTGGAGCTGTGGTTCAGCCTCCGTCCAAATGCCGAGGTCACCAGTGGCCGTCCCAGCTGCAGTGTGAGGTGAGGGTGTGAGTCAAAGCCACAAAAGGCTGCCAGGACCTTGCCAAGTATAAAAAGCACAGAGATGCTAGATACCGCCTTGCATGTGCTGACAGTTCTTGCTGAAAGCGATGGAGAAGGTACAAGCCACTGGACATCAAATACTCAGGCGATCAAGAAAGCTCAATGCATCTGTTGTTCAGAAAGCTCCACATATATTCTAACCTTCCACATACATTAACCAGCTGATCCCTCTGAGAGGCCTGGGCAGATCCCAAGTAGCACAATCCTCATTTTACTGAGGCCACAAATGGTAATTAGCTGACTAATGACTGCAAACATCAGCACCCACATTAAAACTGGGACTTGAGAGCTCTTACGCTCATCACTTGCTGCTGCTGCTGTGTACCCGTAGCACGCACGGCAGCTGGGGAACACTGGCCACAATCCTGACACTGAGAAACCACAGCTCTCGAATAAAGGACTGCCACACAAACACAGGGGTCTCACATTTAGGATGTCATCATGACAGAGAAGCCCAGACAAGCAGGGTTACGTCAACAACTTCCGAAAACAGGCTGTGTAAAATAGAAACTACTGTTTAATTTACCTCGTTGCTACTGATAATGGGTTCCAATACCAGTACTGTAGAATAAAACCTGAAGTCAAGCTCCTGGTTTCAGCCCTCAGTGTAAAACAGATTAACTGCAGATTAACACAAGGCGGCTAATGGCTGCAGGTGAAAATTATACTAAAGGTGGATTAAACACAGATATTATGGCTGAAATGTGGCAAGGTGCCTGCCGGAGCAGACAGACCTGGAGAGAATGAATACAAACCCATGGACAAACTATGGGAGCTGAGATTGTTTTTCAGCAAGCCGTGTGAACCAAACCTGTCAAGTTTCACACGAAGGGCAGCCCGAGACATATTCGTTTGGTTCTCAGAAACTGGAATTTGTGCATAAATATGTGACAGCCTGTGGTAACCAGAAACTATTCTTATCACAGGAAATGCTGTTGGTCAGGAGGAACAAATACATTTGTCCCCCACAATACTAACAAGCCTTCGGCTTTGTCTATGCTACACAGATCCTTGGGTTTATTTCATTGACAATGTTCTTAATAACAAAAGAGCTTGAGTAAATTGATTTGACTCTAAGCAGACAGGCCAACAAGACACAGAGAATAACATGTTCGGAGCAGAGGGATATGGTGGAGTATAAGCAGTCTGCCTTTGCCTCAACTGGGTTCTCCTTAGATTGATTTGTACCCTGATGAACATGAATAGCAGGAAGACAAATTGATTTGATCTACATATTAATACAAAAGAAGAAAGTTTAGGGTGTTTGGAGGGTTTATAACACACAATGGAAGGTGGGTGGCAGTTTAAGTGAGACTAAAAGAATTTAATTGAGTGTAAAGGAGGTTAAATTTCTGCCAAAGCTCATTTTCAGGAGCTGCCAGAAGATGCCAACTTACCTCAGTTTAGGATCCATCAAAGAAGTATTAGAGTTTGGCCTTAAGCATTGAGTAAGCAGCTTTACGTGCCTGTGGGAGGGAGTGATATCCTAACAATAGTAGGAATGGTGCACGGTGCATGTAAATTACTCTGAATATATTTGCTCTTCAGAGTGGATTTTGGATGAGGATGGAAATGAAATTAATTTCTTTTTGAAATAAAGCCCAAGATGTTTGTAGTTATTAAGATCAGTAGGTGATTTCAGTGAAAAATTAGCTCTTGTGCATGCAATAAAAACTTTGCTGTGCTGTATCTCAGAAAATCTATTTTGTAAGAGAAATAGTGAATTTTGGGGTTTCTAGGTTAACAATAACTGTATTTAAAAACAAACAAACAAACAAACAAACAAAAGCCAAGAAAAGGATTTTGACTGTAGAGAGAAATACTCTGAATTCTAGGGAAAAAAAACAACCAACCAACCAAAAAACAAAGAAAACAAAGAAAAAATAAAATCTCTTAGAAAACTGCTTTAAAGAGGGGTTTTGTAAATAGATTTAAAAGAAAAGCTGCTAAAGGCAGAAAATGGCTTTCTATAAAGGAAGAATCCTCTCATTTGTACTGCTCTTACAAAACAACGCAGGAAATCACACAGGATGCTGCTGACAAGAAGGAGGAAGTGGTTTTAAGGATGACATTGGACTCTGCAAGTGGGATGCCAGATATATCTAAGCGTTTGTCTTTCTACCAGCTACTATATCGTGAACGGCTTCTGCTTTCTCTGCCTCTGCTGCCAGGGGAGCAGCACACACTACTACGAGCAGGTCGGGGAGCTCTATTTGAAGCCTCTGTGGCTCATGACTCAACAGGGCCAAACTGTCTTGTAATCTCTAGCTTCAGGGGGGTGGTGTTACAAAACTTGTTCAGGAACTGAAACTTTTGAAGTCTTACGGAGCTGTCTGGTGAAGGCCCCACCTACTCTGAGTCCTGTTTGACTCACAACACATCATGTGGGAAGCAGGCAATGCACGAGAAGGCCTGATTATAGAAATAGGGCAAAGGACTTGACTTCTGCAGAACTCAGGGCTGCCTTTGCCATTTTTAAGTGGTTACAGTAAACATGATAATCCATGTTTATTGAGGTCCTTGGCCTGCTATTTTCCTTCCGCTCTTGATGTGGTGTACAGGTTCAAAGGCACCCGCACAACACCTCTTTGCCTCGACAGAAGTTGCACCAGGTGGTTTCTAAGAAGACTGCACGCGCACAGCCTTGCATGCTTGCTGTGATAGCGTGTGCATCTCCTGTAACTGCACATGAAAACAGTTTCAGTTCTAGCTAGGCATTTGCTACAGTTTGAATACACTTAAAAAGAACTGTGTACGCAAATAATGCATATGGGTACACCTATAAAATTTGTGTACACGTTTGTGTGTGTATATATACATATATTTGTCATACTTTCAGTGAAAGTGCCTGTATTTCTGCATGGAGTCTATGTCCATGCGTCTTTTACTGTATAGGAAATGTAGCTCTGATTATTTTCCATTAAACTATACAGCTTTTAAGCAGTTAAGTTCAGGTCAGCAGCCACATAAAGCTGAAAAATCTTAAATTTCTATCAGTGCTCTTAAATACATCCAAACTCAGAATAGTCATTCATAAGGCTTGCTCATAAATGGTTCATTAAAACATTGCATTGGTGAGCCTGTAACAAAATGCAGGCTTTTACTTGCACACTGTTATTCGCGAACAGAAATTCAAGAGACTGACTCCACACTACTTAATTTAACGAGACCCAGTGCAGATCTAGATGTCTGTTAATATGTCTTAAACCTCCAAATGCAGTAATGCATCAATTCTGTCAGGTCCTGATACAAAAGTTAAATATATTTTCCTCCTAAATGTCACCTAAGCATCAGAGGGATGAGTCTCAGAGGGGAAAAAAAACCCCACTCAGCTGTGTGACTGAGAAGGTCCTTTGCTTTAGCCCCATCTGCCCTACCTGTCCTCACACATGTGAAATGTGCTGTGTGCCTTTGTCTTCCATGCAAAATGTGGCTTCGTTTCCTGAATTCTGTAGTGAAGCAAGAAACAGCATTTTCATCACTAAGAAAATGTCATGGACAAGACAAAGAGGAATAAATATAGTCACATTTTAAATTTGCAATTTATAAAATACAACTCAATTTCAAACCTGCTGAAAAAAAAAAAAGTACTC